TGGGGTTTTACAACGCCCCTTAGCTGTTATAAATTCACTGTAAACCACGGCTTCTTGGGGCTTATTGCTTTCATTTATTCCTGTGATGAAAATGCAGAATTTCCAGCAGCCATTACTCCAGTCTTCAGTGTCATGTGATCCTTCTAAAGTCATTCTAATATGCTGATTTGCTGCATAAGAAACGGTTCTTATTATTACCAATGTTGCAAACAGTTGTAAAATGTTTTTGTGGAAGCCATGATATATTGTTCAGGATTCTTTGATGAATAGAAATAAATAGCATTTATTTGAAATAGATTTTGTTGTAACATTATAAAAGTCTTCACTGTCACTTATTCAGCAAGGATCCATTAAATTGTTAAAAAAAGCATTAATATGTTTAAAATCTTACTGACCCCAAACTTTTGAACGGCACAAAATTATTTAGTAAATTAAAAGGTATTTTGCCTGTGTGCTGGAGGACCCCAGAGGTTTGTCTGAGGACCCAGGACCGAAGTTCAGTCCATAACCGAATCTTGTTCCTTCTCCTGGTCCTGACCCCTGCACATGGAGACTAGACTGATGCAGAGAAGGTCCAAATGAACGGGATGATTGCCCAAACTTTCAAAATAGAAAGAAAAGGTTGTATATAATGTAATGAATGTTGCATGCTAGCATAACCAGTTTAAAATACAGAACATGAAAATTAAATGCGCTGCTATGATGTTAAAGTCATTGATGCATCAATCTAATATGCTTGACCAGGCTAACAATCTGTCTGATAGTGCAGATGACTGACCTGAGGCCATGTCATGTGATCTTCGGATGTCCCGGGCTCGTGACCCTGCTCTTGCTGCAAGCAGGCCTGAGGATGATGATGCTGAACCAGTGCAGGGTTGAGGGGCATACGCAGTGAACAGTCTAAGCAAGAAAATCACTTCTTTCATTAAAAATAACACTTAAGGTTTGAAAGTAACGGCATGTCAAGACAGGTCAACACACAAAAGATGGCGTTATGTTATTCGTACCTTTCTGCAGGGAGTTTATTTGTTTCAGATGAGGCCCTCCATGCTCTGAATAAACCATGGATGAGTTTGAATCTTGCGGGAGGTGCTGCGTTAAGTCCAGGCCGTTGTTGTCGTCAGCTTGTAGCTGGAGCCAAATGGGGTGATTGAACCTGCCGGTGGAGGGCGAAGGTAAAGAGGGAAAGAACTGCAGTGACCCATCTATCTGTGATTGGCTTAAGATCTGGCCAGGCGAGAAGTGTTGAGGTCGTTTAGGAGGAGAAAAGGATGGAGGAGGCAAGGGCGTTGGCGGTGGGCTAAGAACCAGAGGGAAGGAGAGGGTATGTGAAGGAGGAGTAGAGTTGTTGAAGCCGCTCTGCTCTCCTCCGCCCTGCATTCGGAAGGTGCTACGACTGCAAAATGCCTCGGAGAAAGAATCCAGTTTTTGTTGCTGATGCCCAGTTGTTTCATAACTCTCTGATGCCTCTTGTTGGTGGCAGTGAGAACTCCAGTCAGTCTCATAAACTCCAGCTTGTGCCTTGTTCCTGTTCAGTCCAATAGAGGACACAGGGGACATATTCCCCCAGTAAGCAGTGTTCGCTGATTGATCTATTCCATTCATAGAGCTCCCGGTGCCATCCGTGGCTTCACACGGGACCTCAAACTGGCCGAGCCCACTCATTGAACCTTGCTGGTAAAGGTCGTGGCTTGACCTTTGTCCTTCTGTCTGAGGGCGAAACATGGGAGTGTAGGAGAGCGACTCGGGCTCGGGAGATGTATGGTCAGCCATGTGGCGTGTTGAAAATGGCTGCACCCTCGAGTTAAAGGACGCTCATAGCATCTGAAAACTGAAAAGGCACACAAAGACAATCAGAAGTCATCAAAACCCTTTCAACCTCACGAGCGTTAGTGAGCCAAACCACACAAACAAACGCGATGAGATATTTTCCCAACCGCTGAATGGTTTGTCTTTGCCTTCCTCTGTAACAATTGGTTTTAAAGACAAATATTCACACAGAAATGCGGAAACGTTACAGCAAAGAAAAAACTGAGAAACGTCTACAGCTATCGAAAGAAAAGAAACGGCCTTTGTTCTACGGCTTTTGTTTATCTTTTCACTTTCTCTCTCATCCTTCTTTCTCACTCTATTTGTCTAGTACTCACCAGTGTTGCCCTTTCTTTATCCATAACCTGTTGTTTTTGCTTGTGTGCTATCCCTTCATGTCGACCTGTGAGTTGTGTGCCGTGTGCGACCCTTGTCTCCAACTAACAAAATTAAAATACTGCCACGTGTGAAAGCAGGTGCTCTCTCTTGCTCTTCCTCACTTGTGCACATTATCATACTTAAATGTGAAAACACTTTCTCACACATATTTCTTTCACAGCTGCCACCGATCAAAAGGTAAGTCGTCGGTTGTCATAGAGTCACCCCCTCCCTTAAAACCCAGAACCGAAAACCACATCCTGAGGAAGCAGTCACGGATCTCCCTCTATCTCTCTCTTTCTATATCTCTCTCCCTCTTCTGTCTTGCTCTCCTCCTTAACCTCTTTTCCTTCTCAGTCTATTTTTATCCATTCTCCTACATCACACGTCGCATACTCACAGTCTCCCATTGATCACCACCATCTTCTCTCGGTCCAAAGAGGGTCTCATTCATGGTGAACAGACAGACGATAGAGCAAACAGGGCTGAATCCGGACTAACCTTACTTTACAAGATTTTTTAACAATTAACAAAAACTGTAGGATGAAAGCTTGTTGTCTTCAATGATGCTGGCAAGTTATGAGACTTTTTGTGCTTGCGGCTCAGAGTGTTATCTTGAGATTCGCATCTGTTGTGGTTAGTGACTTGAGTGTAAAGAACGTAAGAGTTGTCAAACTGGCAGGTAAGGCGTGGGTGTGCGTGTAAGTGTATATGACATGAGTGAGAGCAAAGCTTCCTGTCGTGTGTGTGTGTCAGTCATATTTTTCTTGTATTTGTATGCGTTTGAACGGTTGTCTTTTTGTTAATGTTATGTGGTGTGTTAAATGATTAACTTAATTGCTTTATTGAGATTTTGTGCATGCATATACTGTATGTGTGTGTGTTAATGTGTGATTTTTTTCTTCTTCTGTGCATGTGTTTGTGTGGGCGAAAAGACAAACTGTGTTTACGCCAGTGAGAATCTGTGGTTGCTCAAAATCATGTGACGGGAAGTTGACCATGAAACAACGACAGAACAGGAAGTGGACAAGGGAAACCTCCGTACACCCCGCCTCCGCTCTCTCGCTCGCTCTCTGCAAGTGTATCCCTCTTATACCCACAATGTAAAATCGTTTCCATACCGCATACATTGTCTCTGCACCCCTCTTTCCACCCACATGTAGTGTTTTCCTCTCTTTTCTTTCTGCTCTTTCTTTTCTCTCTCTCTCATGCTAACTTATTTGCATCATTTTAACTGTTAATTCTTAGATAAGAGCAGTTCAGCATAATCATGCATTTTTATTTTGAATGACAGGTCTATACTACAGGTCCACCCACTCTGTCTCTGTGCGTCGTATCTCGGTCAGAGGCATTAAACTTTGAGAGACGGTGAATCTGGACGGCCCCCGCACAGGTTGTAGGTTTAGCAGTTTGGCTGATGAGGGTGTTGTTAATTCAGTGGTGAGTACAGTATGAATGTACCTGCAGAAATCGCCTACACAAACCTCACCATTAGCATACTGTGGGTGAAAGAATAAAGGTGTAAGACAATACGCCAAGTGAAGACTGATTCCTAGACCAGAGAAATGTCGATTTTTCACTCTCGCTGCCCTACTTTTTTAGCTTTTGCCTTTTAAAATCTACTTTGTGCAAGTTTTTATATTCAAGAACCGAGAGTGTGAGAATTTAGGACTTTAAATACCAGCTTTGTTCCATGAAATGTTCAATCTTAAATCAATATTGCATACCCAAAAGCTATACGCGATCAGATAATACTGGAGAATGGCAAGCGGGTTAAGGAGGGACAAAAACAACATAGGATATAATTGATGGAAAGAGGAGTGTGGAGGCTGTTTTCTAGTTTTCTGTCAGATGTGTGAAAGACTGAACAGAGGAGGGGGAAAGCAGCAGAGCGGTTTGGACTTTTTTTCCCCTCTCTCTCTCTATCATTCTATCAAACCGTTTATCTTATCTTTGAGACAACCTTCATAATGCAGAGAGATCACAGACGAATGTGTCAAACAAATGAAAGAAGTGACGGAGGAATGAAAGGAGAACCTAAAACTGTAGTTTAGGTTACAAAAATAAATGAATGTGTATTTTACTGGTGCGAGTTACGTCCCCCAAAACCTATAGTATCTAATGAATTTAGGTGATTCTCCATTATTAGTCTGCTCCTGACTGATGCAGAGTGAAATGTGTTGATGATGCATTTTAGGAGGAGTAAGAATTCATTCATTTTTAAAACATCAGCTAATTCAGAAACGGCTAATGCGTTAAGCAAGCTCCCACTGAATTTCAGTCGTCAAACTTTCCAGCCAATTACAATTGACAACATGTGGTGTATGCTAGCAACAATTGATAATTTCATATCAGGGAAGAGAATAGCTGGAAATACATGATGACATGAAAATATCTTTTATTGTCGTGTACATTTACTGCTATAGATTCTGTAGCATTTTTAGGTCTTGTAGCATGAATTGCTAATATTGTGAGGTTCTTCATTTAAACTGTATAAACGTGTCTGTTAAATTATTTAATGTAACTAAATATAAATGTACAGTTCAGTCTCTGATTCTTATGTCTGGCCGCCCATGTCTTCCCAGCTCTGTAACAGTGGCCTTTTTAAGTCATGAAAGCATTTACTATTACAAAGACAAACTTTTTTTAGTTTTGGAATTGTTTACATTTTGCTGGTGGCACTTTTTAATAGCTGTAATGTAATGCTAAAATATTTTAACTCAAATCAAATGATAAACACAAAAGTGTTCGCATACTGGTTAGTGGATAAATGACCCAAAGTCCGTTGAAAGAGGCAAAATCTGCAATTCATTATATTTATGTATTTGCATGGAAATATATATATTTTTTTGCCAACATTTATTTTCATGGGTAGGTCTTTTTCGGTGCTAAATGTTACGCATTAACCAGTTGACCCTTACTTAAATTATGTCTATAAGGCGACCCTAGTTTCAAATGCATCTGTGTTAGACCTGTAAAAAGTGAATATGGTATATGCAAATTAGATAAATCTAGCATTAGAAGTTACACAAAACTGATAACAAATTACTTTTTGAATGTGTGCTTTTATATGATTACGTGAATATATTTTGGAGAGGTTTTGTTCAAAAGGTTTTCGAATGAGAGAATGATAGTGATGCATCTCACCGAATCACTGCAGTCTTATCCATACAATGATTATTGATCAGATTTATCACCGATATGATCAAATTGTTGTGTGTTTGTTTATTTGATGGGTTTTTTCATATCGGTGCTCTAGACGAAAAATAGCAAATTGAGCAAATTTTCCACTGAGAGTCTTTCTGTGTTCTGATGTGTTCGAATCTAAAAATGTTTATTGCAAAAGGCTAAACATGAATGCACATACACAGGCATCAGAAGCAATCTGTCCTCATAACAGCTTTAATAAAATCTTACATTTTCACGCCATATCCAGTATTTGTCAATTATATGTATAAGAAAATTAACAAAAATTATCTGATGTAAATATCTGTATTATCTGATGACATACAGAAAGCTGCTAATGGCTGTTTTTTTTTTCTTCAAGATTTTGTTTATATTAAACAGGTGCTACCTAGATTATATATCTTGTCTTTCATAGTCAAATAGTAAAACATATTCATAGTCAAATAACTGCAACGCAACGACAGTTAAGTGATGTTTCTAAGGACTCCCAGAGCCTCGCATCCAAACCTACATACAAGTACACAATTTATTTCTAAATGAAGACATACCATAGACTACTATTTTATATAGAGATAATTAGAATTACTATAGATTAAACCATCTAACAAATGTCTTTAATTTATCTGACACTGTCTGAATATGTGATTCATGCGTTTTACCTAAAATATCAGTCAGTTTACGTAAAGCCAATTCGACATTTTCTTTTTCGGATTCCATTTAAAAAAAAAAAATTGCTAATTTGTTGTTGGAGACTATTGTCATATTCAGTTTGACCCAATACAAATAATGTAGATCTGAGTTTTAAAATCAACATTTTGTTGTCTTACAAAAAGCCCAACACCCATTCAGTACCTCAATAAAAAAGACATAACACTAAGTAGTACTTATGCATATTAAAGCTAAATTTGGCCGCAGTGATCAGTATACAGGAAATATGCCCTTGGTGGATGTCAACATCCTCACAGAATAGACGCAAAACTCTTGCATAGACATAATTTAAAGCATTCAAAAAAGGTTAAAAGGACAAACCAGAAACTATTGCAATTCTATTAGTAGAAGGTTTCTTGTTAAATCCTTTTTTTTTTCAAGTGTAAAGTATAATCACTGAAATTTGTGGCTAATTATTTATTATATAAATTTTCAGGAATAATCCTTGCTTGGATTAGTTGTCTGCAGCACCAAAGTCATAGAGGCGGTTGTAGGACATTATCCGTCAGGTGAGTTTAATTTAATAAATAACAATTCTGAATCACTTTTCTCTACATGACATTATACTTTGCAATAATAGCAAAAACCATCAGAGAATTCTTAAGTTCGCTTATTAGACCCTGCTGAGTAAAGATGAAATGTAAGGAAAAGACAGAAGAATCAGACAATACATTATTAAGAGTCCGAGTTATTAATAATTTGCATGGTCCACCATCAACAAAAAATAGGTAATTACTGACTGCTGTTTGTGTTAAAGGGCAGGACCTTGCACACACTTCCATAATCCATAATCATTCCATAATCCAAATCATCAATTGACACAGCTCTTCAAGGAACTACAACTGCACATAAAAGGCGAGACAGAAATTATCCTCAAAGCAAAAAAATAAATAAATAACCTTACCCATTAAAAAAATGTTTTCTGAAAATGACTTCCAGAAATAGAAGCTGTGATTATTATAGAGATTTTAGTAGTTAGGGCGCAGAACTAAGAACAGGTTTTCAAACTTCTTTTTCTCGCAGGATTGTACGCATTCCAATTCTGTTTCTCATGAGAATGATTCACAGGGACACGTGATTGTCTACAGATTATCCGAAAATTATCAATATTCTACTTTGTCATTCGCAATGCGAAGAATGTCACAGAAGCCACTATAAAGTAGTCATGGAGCAAGCTAGTAATAGTGCTGAAAATACTGATAAGTATTATCACAGTACGCATCTCATAAACTAAAGAATGTTCATTAATGAAAGATGTTCATTAATTAAATGTAAAAAGAGTTACATTACAGTCAAAAAAATACCTCATTCAGTCTACACTGAGATTCTAATGTGTCCTCTATACTCCAGTCGTTTTCCGAAACTAGGCCTCAACATCAATGAAATCTTTCAGGCTACACGCAGAGCCATGTTGCTTAGATGAAACTGTTTTTGCGCAAGTCTGGTGCAATACACAATCTTATGACTTTCAAAAACAAGTGAAATGCGCCTGCATTGCTTTACATTCAAGATGTAAAAGCAAACAAGATGAGTGTCAGCACAGCCATATCTGTCTTGTATAACTTTGTTTCCAGAACTGAAATATATGTTCTCATACTTGTAAAACACTACCTATTAGTCAGTTTTAGCACTCGCTAACTCACTTCACTGTCTGTTTTTGTTGTCTTGTTCATAAACAGAGTAAGATGTCACTTACCTCTCAGTTCTGAAGTCAAGGCCTTGCAAGACAGTTGAACTCTACGAGCTACATGCACGACTGTATACACGAGTGAATGAAGGAAGGATGCACTGTTAAGGTAAGACAGACAGAGAGAAAGACATTGAGAAGCTCTGCGGAGGCGTTAGTGATGGTTAACTTTTCGCTATGGCAGTCTTCTCTTGGTACCTCTGATCTTTTGAAGCCATTGTCATTGTGATCCTGGAAACGAGTGAGAAAAAACATCATACACCATAGAGGGAGAGAGAAAGAAAAAAACTTTATTGCTCCGACTCAGACCTCAGAGGCAGCTCTCAGTTTGACAAAGCGCCTGTCCTTGCCACTACTTATTTTTTCACTCTCTCTTTCTTATCCATCTTGTATTTGATTGCTATTTACCGCTGTTAAATGCTGTTTGGGAAAAACAATTCTACAACTATTTGTTCCATGTTATATTTTATTGTATTTCCATGGTCTCCGGTTTTACCTCCAGGGGCTTCAACCAGGGGTCCAGAAAGGCACTTAATTTGGTCAGAAGAAGATGCTAATAATAATAAAAAAGCATAATAAAATTAATACACAGTGTTTGAATAGCAGAAATGTTTTTCATTTAAACAGCAGTTGATTTTGGATATAACATGCTAAGAGCAGTTTTTTAGTGCACTGACAACTAATCTAAATAACTGAAGTCAAAATATTATTTAACATCAATTAATCAACCAAAATGCATTAGGATACTACAGCAAAACTAGTTTAAAGAGTAAGATTGGGTAGAAATGGCCCTTAAAGGAACAGTTCACCCTTAATAAAAATGAATCATTTATTCACCTTCATGTTGTTCCAAACAAGTATGACATTCTTTCTTCTGCTGAACACGAAGACATTTTAAAGCAAGTTTGGACTTTTTATGTTTATACAATGAAAGTTAAAGGGGTTCAAAAAACAACGCTGACTTGTATGAGACTGCTTTCAAAATATCTTCTTTTGTGTTCCACATAAGAAGTCATAGTCTTTGGAACACACATGAGAATAAGTCATTATTGACAGAATTTTTATTTTTAAGATTCAGGTTACCATCTCTACGTGTAGGTGACATATTTCAGTAGGCCTTTATTAATGATGAGGTATGAAAATGATTGTTGAAATTGCAACGCAGCCGCCCTCATTCATTTTAGGGAGAGTCACTATTTCATGCAGAGATTTTGAAGAGTTTGACAAACAACGGTATATATTTGATATCGAAAGTCACACTTTTGCTGAGAATAATATAGTTTGGTGATGATGATGGTAGTGATAATGGAGGAGGTGATGAAGAAACGTTTGAGATGAAGATGGGGTTCAAGATAAAAGGGTTTATAGTGATGTGAGTAGGCTGTATCAGTAAAACCGAGAGTCAGGCATGACTGGGCATTGTTCGGTGACGAGTTTCACATCAACAGGGCGAGAGGGGGCGTTGTCTTTCTCTCTCGTCTCTCTTATTGAGAAGGAGGGAGGAAAAGGAGAGAGAGAGAGAAACAGAGCCAGACATGATAAAGCCTGTACAAAAACATGAAACGGTGAGTGTGGTTCAAAGTTACCAGAAATTTTTCCTGATTTTAAAGGCATTTCAAGTGAATGACTTAAGTTGATTAAGATAAGTTGCTGTGTGATTTGACTCCATTTTCAGAGTCTCAAAAAACCCGATTCACTGCCGTCAAAAGTTGCCCACAGTCAAAACGAAAGCCCCATCCCCACAGAAAAGACACACACAATCACATAGGTACACACACACACACAAAGACATGAAGACACGTTTGACAAATACATGTAACACACACACGGGTTTGTGACCACACTCTGTCATCTCAAGAGTGCGACGTCGTGTTTTACCAGAAACACGTCGCTGTCTCCGACGACTCTGAAATATCACTGTACCCCCGCTGACATTCAAATCAACACACACATGCACAAACAGCTGTTATAAAGCCGTCTGAGACAGAATCAAAGTATCACAACTACTTACTATGTGCACAAATATTGCTTCAAACATTTTTTTTTTATAAACAAATAATAGTATAATGACTAAACACAATTTGCTATATTTCGGTTTATAATTTTATAACGTAGTCCTTTTTCTAATGTTGAGATTGTCATTTCCAACTATAAAACTTTGGTTTATTAGTGTTATTTTACTTTTGTAAAATAATACAAAAATGCATAAAATATTTACATTGTCATAGTGAAGTAAAATAAAAAAAATAATAGTTTGAAGCAGTTGTACAAATAAGTGTTTTATACCTCATATGTGACCCTGGACCTTAAGTCGCTGGGGTATATTTGTAGCAATAGCCAAAAATACATTGTATGGGTCAAAATGATTGATTTTTCTTTTATGCCAAAATCATTAGGATATTAAGTAAAGATCATGTTCCATGAAGATATTTTGTAAATTTCCTACCGTAAATATATCAAAACTTAATTTTTGATTAGTAATATGCATTGCTAAAAACTTCATTTGGACAACTTTAAAGACGATTTTCTCAATATTTTGATTTTGTTTTTGCACCCTCAGATTCCAGATTTTCAAATAGTTTTATCTCGGCTAAATATTGTCCTATCCTAACAAACCATACATCAATGGAAAGTTTATTTATTCAGCTTTAAGATGATGTATAAATCTCAATTTCGAAAAATTGACCCTTATGACTGGTTTTGTGGTCCAGGGTCACATACTTACGTTGCAATTACTTAAACACATGCAGCTCTAATATTTACAACAAAAATGTCACCAAAATGAGTGTCATTGATCGTGTCGGTGTCTAGATTTTTAAGTGTAATAAAACAGGAAAGCACAAGCTAACTTTGATTCAGTCAGTGCACAAATGTTTAAATAGCAAAGCGCTGAAGGTAAAATATGTTACATGTAGAAACTGTTGTTTTGTTCTGTCTTTATATGAATATCAACTGACCTGGATGTTTTTTCCCTTTTGATTGTAGTTTTTACCAAACATCTTTTAGTTCTCACCAAACATTTTTTTGTGATCTATTTCTGTTCTTTACCTTGTACCTTGTATGTTGTAAACTTCACTTAACTTGATTTAGATTGTATGAATATTAATTGTTATTAATATAATTGTATTTATTATTTTTATTGATACTATAAATAATTGCTCTTTTATAATGAACAGAAATTAGAAAATGTATTAATTTTATTTTAAAGGGTTCTGATGGTTTATCACTACAACCGAATACAATAAATACATTTTGCTCTTGTAGTTTGTCTGGATTTGTAATTTTTCTGTACTACAAAATTTTTCTTCTGTCTGTGGGAGGACATGCAAACGAACAGCCCTCACCACCACTTATATCTGGGAAAGTTCACAATCAGAATTAGATAAAGATTTCTTACAAGATCGATCTCTTTCTGTCTCATACACATGTTAACACAGAGATTCAAGCCCAGAATACGGTTTATTGCCGAGGAAAATATTATATGGGACCTGCAGAAACAAAAGGTAAATAAATGAGAATTATACACCATTGAAATTTCAGATTTGACCTATGACCTTACATTAATCAACACTAGACTGTCATGAAAAACAAACAAAAAAACAAATGGGGCATCAGGTAAAATATAAAATTACCAAATCTCGTTGTTATTAAAAAAGAAGAGGCACTTTCCCCCATATGCAGTAGTGCACATCCTGAGTAAAAAAAAAAAAAAGAGTGTCTAGAATATTTTAATTACTGTATAAATCAAACTTTGTGATAATGAGCCATCATGTTACTTATTTCTTAACTGAATAACTAGATTTATGAATTGTCATGCTGACCCCATTCTGCATATAGGTGCTGGAAGAAATGTTATTTTTTTACAAGCTAAAGTGTGCAGGAAGTAATAGTTTTATATAGTCCATATCACGATCGCACATGACACACATACACACACACACCTGTTAACTTTAGAGTCTTCCTTTTCCTGCCCTGAGAACTAACGACAAATGGCATGGAGCCAAGACACAAGCGCACAACAATTATGTATTGTGAGTATAAAGTCAAGGTTTTTCATTATAAAAGACACCGATTTAAAAAAGGACACACATACAGCAGTAAACATTTATCAGATTTTGTAGTTAAGTTGATTTATTTTTAAGGTGGTTTTGTATAAACACGTCTTTGCACTGAAAGCAGACATGGAACACCTTTTTATCCAACTTTATTAGTAGATAAGAGATGTCAAATTTAATACACACAATGACTGAAAAAAAAGTTATTTTAAATCACTTTAAGATTTGTAATATTTAGACTACTTAAACTCCTCGAAGCAAAAAGACACTATTTTATGAGATCTCAGAGAAAAACAAACAGCTCTGAGACGATATGTGAGGATCTGCATATGTTTGTCTAACCAGCATAAGGATAAGACAACAGAACAGCCTGTTTGGGCCCAAGCTGAAACTTTTCTAAGGAGACCATGCTATCCACGGCTAGATTCGCAGCATCTGTGGTGAGGCGAACCTGAGCTTGTGTCGGCAGGTCTCTATAAGTGAGGTTCATGGTTACATGGTCGTTTCCCCAGTTCATGGCAGGAAGGAAGGGTTCGCGTTGATCCCAGAGGCGGACAAATGCTAATGAAGTGGGTGAACTGAAAAGGCTGACATATTCTCCGTGCAGAAGTGATCACTCTTTTCCCCTCAGATGAGTGAGTGTTTTGAAGAAGTTACGAACTGCGATATGCTCCTCCTGCAGAGTCTGAATGAGTGGAAGATAGAGAGAGCAAGATGCAGTGTTCTGGATTTAAATTTGTAATTAGTACAGTGATGAGATCATATCTACTTGTTATGAATAGTCATGTGAATAATCAAAATGTACCTTTGCTGTTGCATTCGTCATAGATAATGAAAATTTGCATATGAAAATACGTAGCTGATATATTTTAGCATATTTAATTAACTATTGTTTTTGTGAACCAAGAACACTAAGTTACCAGAATACATTTTGTGTGTTGAATTTCTTTGAATCGCAGTTTAGTAGGCTAAATTCTCCTCCAGTCATTTTGAATTCAGTCACAATCTGTGGCGTGTAACCCATTCAATTCAAATTCCAACTAATGAATTTAAAGGGAGCCAATTTTTTAATTCTGAATTTTGCAACCAAACACTGATTCAGCTAACCATTTATTTATGCTCTACTCACCCCAGCCTTCAGTCCAATCTCATCTCCAGCGCTGAACACAGGTGTGCCCGGGAGGGTGAACAGCAGCATTTGATAGAGTCTTATGGGCGCTGCTGGAGTTCTGGAAGCCAGAGAACCCAGAGTCCGTCCACTCAGACTCCAGCCCAGACTCGTCTGCAGGTGATCAACGTAGAGTATCTGTACCACCTGGGCCTGTCTTATGCCGGGCTCAGCCGGATCAGGCAGTTCAGTCAGGAGCAGGTCAACACTAACTAATGAATTTAAAGGGAGCCAATTTTTTAATTCTGAATTTTGCAACCAAACACTGATTCAGCTAACCATTTATTTATGCTCTACTCACCCCAGCCTTCAGTCCAATCTCATCTCCAGCGCTGAACACAGGTGTGCCCGGGAGGGTGAACAGCAGCATTTGATAGAGCCTTACAGGCACTGCTGGAGAACCCAGAGTCCATCCACTCAGACACCAGCCCAGACTCATCTGCAGGTGACTGAAGTAGTGGTTCTTTATTACCTGGGCCTGTCTTTCACCGGGCTCAGCCGGATCAGGCAGTCCATTCAAGAGCAGGTCAACACCTGAGCGGTTCAGCACGAGAGAGACCTCATCCACAGAGAGACTGGTGACTGATCCCATCAGAGCTCTGAAAGTCATGAGGAAAAAAAAGTGAAAGCTGAAAAAATAATTGGTTCTTGAAAGCTAAAGAAAACAGAAAGTTGAACGACACTTGGCCCAAGTAGAGTGAGCAAGCAGCAATGCTCAATACCCCATCTGGCCAGCAGGTGTAAACAAATCAGAAGAATATGAAATCACTATTTAGATTAGTTCTTAGCACACAATTACAGACACATACACTTTTTTGGTCTGGACACTTTGGTTGAATATAGCTTGTATAGATGGCCAGGAGTCTGTTTTCATGATGTCTCCCAGGTCAGGCAAGAAAATACCACCAAATCCTTTTTTCAACCAGTGTGTACATGCTTCCTAAAAAACAAAGAGTATACATGTAATTCTAATATCTTAAATCTGCTGTTTTTCTAAGATAAGAGATAGGATCTTACTTATTTGACTCTTTAATGCTTCCTTTCTCAACTATCTTTTCATAATTATCAGTGAATCAGCTTTTCCTCCACTCCTACAGAGCATGAGAGAAAGAGAAGTTATTGCATTGATACCATCATGAACCCTCAGCCTGTTTTCACATTATGACCATTATGAAATAAAACCTTGAGCAGGTATTTTTTTAACATTACTAATCTGCAATGACTATAATACTTCTTATATAGTGTTGATATATAAGAATTGAAAAGTTCAACAAATGTTTTGGCTGCTGCATGTGCATACAGTATGTGCAGTTTGTGGTTCTGTAAAATACTGACAAACAAGGCTACTGATCTAAAAAAAATCCCATTTACCTTTCAGTCCCTTTTCAGAGAAGGCATTCACGTCAGATATCTGGTACAGAGGACCTTCGTTCCACCAGTTCATCTCAGGAATGGGTTTACAGCGTGGGGCCTGTACTATGATTACTATTGCTCCAGCTAACACGCCAATCCAGCCGAGCCAGAACAAAACCAGCAAAGCCATACGAGTCCGAACCCACCTGCAGAAAATAAGCAAATCTATATCAAACAGACAGACAGTCAAATGTTTTGTTTTAATGTCATAATCCTCATGAAGGTTGCCTACCCAGCTGTACTGGCGATTTTAATTAACTCGTCTTTGGAGAGGCCAGTATACTTCACTCTAGCATTCTCTGGGACAGTGACCTTCACGCAGCCATTTATTTGAGTTTGTCGGGTCATTAGCTGTTTTTCCTGATCCACCTCCTTCAGTTCTACTTCCTTCATTTCTTCTCTTTATGTAAGGACAGCCTTTTAAAAATACTGGATTAAAACAGATTAAAAGGATGAACTAAAAAAACTAGTGAACAAATTCATTACATCATAAAAATAAGGTTTATTGTTATATATATATATATATTAGTCAGCTACTGTTAAAAAAAACTTTTTTTTTTTTTGTTTAGGGCAATCATTAGATAGTTATTAATTGTAGGTTGCCATAAAATTTTAATAATAAAGAGACCACAAAAATCTTTTTTTTTATTTTTTTATTTTTTAAACAGTACAAAGAAGCAACATAGAGTGATTGTAAACCTAGTAAGGTTACAATAACTGCTGCTGTCATAGTAATAGTGTTAACATTAAGTCAAAGCTTGATATTAAAATGTCAACATATATATATATATATATATATATATAAAATAAAACTTCTATTAACAATAAATAAATAATTCACAAATAAAAATATATAAAGAACACAGTTAAATACCTGTACAGAGTGGAGGCGAGGCGTCCTTTGTGTTTTCGGGCAGAACACAAGAGCACAGTTTGGTGGTCAGTTCACTTTTATGAAGATGACTTCATCTGTTCCCGCCCCTTACCACCAACATACATACAGGACTGGAGGAGTAACAGTAGAGAGTCATAGATTTCTGCGACCAAATGAAATACATTCATGCACATGTCATATATGAATAAAATCAAAGTATTTTCATTGGTCCTTAAGAACGAAAATGTCATATTTTTTACAAATCGGCACATAGTTTTTAATAAAGGATACACTGTATACAGAGTATGAATATACATTCATGGAGTGTTTAGGCTATATTTAGACAAAATGAAAGTGAAGTGACGTGTGGCCAAGTATGGTGACCCATACACAGAATTTGTGCTCTGCATTTAACTCATCCAATCGGAGTAGAGTAACTGTATCACCTGGGCCTGTCTTACACTGGGCTCCGCCGGATCAGGCAGTCCAGTCAGGAGCAGGTCAACACTTGACCGATTCAGCAGATGAGAGACGTCATCCGCGGAGAGACCGGTGACTGATCCCATCAGAGCTCTGAAAGTCATGGGGAGAAAGTGATGGAGACATCTGAGTACCCTGAAATCAAGTTCTGTCTGTCTACCATTTGTTTTCACTAGCTGTGACCCAAATCTGGCCACCAGGTGTCTCTGTTCTACTAAACAAATTCCAGTAACTACCAAACTTCAAAAACTACCACCACATACCTTTTTTTGGTCCCATCGGTTTGGTTGAATATGTCTTGAACAGATGGCCAGGCTTCTGTGTATGCGATGTCGTTCAGATGAGATAAGAAGATGCCGTCCACCCCCTTATTCAGCCAGTATACGCACGCTTCCTATAATAAAAACAGAGAATGGAACAAAAAAATCTGTTTATATGGCTAAGCATTGATTAATAAAATGAATTAAAATTAATTAATTACATTATTCATAATAGTAAAAAAAACTTTCAACGTCCATTTACACTATAGTTCAAAAAAATTGAAGTTAGTAAGAATCATTTAAATTATCTCTAAACAAAGTTGTAATCATTTGATCAAAAGTAAAGTAAAAATAGCAACCTAGTAAAATAATATTACAACTTAAAATAGCTGTTTTCTATTTAAATATATTTAAAAATTTAATTTATTCCTGTTATGGCAAAACTGAATTTTCAGCAGGCATTACTTCAGTCTTCAATGTCACATGATCCTTCAGAAAGCATTCTAATAAGCTGATTTAGTGCTCAAGAAACATTTCTCATAATCATTAATATCGAAAGTGTTTGTAAGGCTTAATATTGTTGCGGAAACTATGATACACTTTACACTTTTCTCTCACTAACTGACCATCAATATATCAGCACTTACTTTGAGTCGCTCAGCAACAGAAGCAGCATTGTTGAACCAGACTGAAACTCCCTCATAATTTGGTGTTAGATCCAGCACTACGGAGATTCCTGAGAGGGAGACAGGAAAACAAGTAGAAAGAAGGGAAAAGGCAGAGGGGAGAGTCAACAAACCGGAAGGCTGTTAAATGATCTTTCTACAGTTTATCTTTCCTGACAAAAACAAAAGGCTAATTTTGTCTTGTATTTGAAGCTTTATTCGAAGGCATATGTTTACTGGAAACCACAGGGATGTTCCTGCTAAACCAACACAACGGTTTTTGAGCTAGTGAATCAGTTCCAAGCCAGTCCTCTATACTAAAATGCTAAAAATGGCATAATGCATACAATATGTGCCATAAATGGTTTGTGAGGAGACTTTTTTTCTAGGATATTTTGGTTTGCTTTGATATATTTCAAATGATACATAAAGAAATAGTTACAAATAGAGTTACAATGAGTAATGCCACATATTCACTATAAGAAAAAAGGCAGGAGGTCAGAGGTTAAACTGCTATTTCAGACAGCTTTCTCCTAAAACAGAGCAACAGGAGCTTAATGATGTCTATCCAGTGACCTATTTTGTGATTTCAAAATAGGTAAGTGAAGTGTTTTATTTTGAAAACCTTAGAAACAAACAAATGAGGTCACCTTTTCTATGTGCTCGGTCCAGCAGAGAAATCAGTTGGCTCTCAGAGCCAAATTCAGGGTTAATGGAAGTTAGTTCCAGTGTGCTCAACTGGTCTGCTTGCACAGTGTGTATTGGACCCAAAACAAGCCCCTTCACCTTCATCTGGTTAAGATAGTCCAGTTTCTCCTCTACTCCTACAGACAGAATGAAAGACAAAAGAGTTAAGAAGAAGAGCATGTGAATGGGAGATCACCATCAGTTAAGGTGCTTCCATTTTCTCAAGCAACAGAGTTCAGGCGGTCTTTCAATTATTAATCTGCTTTGATTGTTTAACCACAGTACTATGTGTGCACAACTGAAGATATCAGGGTTTAAGGTCACTGTACTTGATAATCTTAATCTATAATGTAGATTGTCTACAGTAATTGTGTGAGTGTGTGAACACTTGTGCAATATCGTAAAACTCAGCCAAAAGTTGTGTTAAGAGCAGAAATGTGATGGGGGGCAGATTCATCTTGCGTAGATCAGCAAATGGTTCCTCACATGAGCGAGTCACGAGACAGTCAGTCAGTTTTTGGCTTAGCTACACCATCAGTCTTGCATTTTTCCTAATGCTGTCGTAGCAAAGAGCTAAAATACTGAGACTTTAATGTACTTGAAATTTTATCAAGTATGTATAAAGTGGAGAGATTATGTTTTCCCATTTTTGTTTTAATGATTAACACAAATAATAAGCAATAATCAAATAACTCAGATATTAAATGGAGACATTTTCACCTTTTAGTCCATTTTCAGAGAAAGTGTTAACGTCAGATATCTGGTACAGAAAACCTTCGTTCCACCAGTTCATCTCAGGAATGGGTTTACAGCGTGGGGCCTGTACTATGATTACTATTGCTCCAGCTAACATGCCAATCCAGCCGAGCCAGAACAAAACCAGCAAGACCCAACGAGTCCGAACCCACCTGCAAAAAATAAGCAAATGTATGTTAGACAGGCAGACAGGCACAGACAGACAGGCAGACAGACAGGCAGATAGACAGATATACCCGGCTGTACCGGCGACTTTCATTAACTCCTCTTTGGAGAGGCCCGCAAATTTGACTTCGGTGTCCTCCGGCACTTTAACCTTTACGCAGCCGTTTTTTTCGGTGCCTGTCAGAGTTTCTCCGGTCATCGGCTGTTTTTCCTGATCCATCTCGTTCAGTTCTACTTCCTTCATGTCGTCTTCTTTATTCATGTTTGATGGTAGTTTCAGTGCTGTCGGTTAAACGGAAAATGATTAATCATCGAAAAAATGGACACCAAAACCTCAAAAGTCTAGGACAAAATTTTACATATGGGGCGTATTTGATTTCGAATTAATTTTAGATATATGAAAAATGTTACTTATTTAGACCTAATTGTAAAACACGTTATTCATAAGAGTTTGTGGCCCATTTCAGAGATAAAGAAGAAATAAAATATTTTGAAAGAATCTTACATTTGTTTGCAGAAGATATTATATTATTTTACGTTTTCTCAGAATTGTGTTTTATTTCGAAACTGTATAATCTTAATGAATGAATAAATGCATGAATGAGACATACCTGCAAAAAGAAGAAGCTTCCGTTTCAATCAGGATCCCCGCTGTTAAACTCCACAGAGGCTGGATCTGACGGTCAGTCCGGTTTATATAGTGCCGACTCCACATGCATACGCCCATTCGCTATAAGGAGGAACTCCAAAGGAACTTTGACACCAATAAGACTACTTGATTGACTTCTGCAACATCATCAAATAACGCGCATTTTAATGCACTGAATTTACGTAGGCCTACTGCTCGAGAAGTTACGCTACAATCACGACAGTAGTGAGTAGCTATGTTTCCATCACCCTATTTTAATGCGCATTTTGAAGTATGAGAAACGAGTGATGGAAACGCAAACTTAGCCTAATTCGCAAAAAAAGTTTTTACGCTCGGTTTTTGACTTGTGCGAAAAAGGGTTGATGCGAATAATGGGAGATGGAAATGCATTTTGCGCATTTTGCGAAAAAGGGTTGATGCGAATAATGGGAGATGGAAATGCATTTTGCGAATAAATTCCTCCAAGCGCATCAAAAAAGTCATGTGACTTTGCGCTATGGGACGGCAAAGCCTGCATCTGAAATGTTGTTATGGTCATTCGGAAATGCACGAGCATAGTCTGTCATCAAATTATTTCTGTATAATTGCCTCCCAGAAATGTCTTACACGACTGCGTTCCCAAACAGCTGCATCCACCTCCGAAAACAATGACCGCATTCACTGTGTTTCGTCTGCTCGCTCTGAGGCGCAAGCAATTTATTATATATCAAAATGACTATATTCTCCTACTTTTCTTAGTGCTTTATAGTGCCAGTTTATCAGGAAGTGACGATTTTGTTCTCTTTGACTTGTTGGATGGGAACGATGCTTGTTCGCAAATGTTTGATCATTTTTTATAAAGTTAAATTCGCACCTTAAATGCTCCCTTTCCAAATCCTGAGCGCATCATTGAGCATGCGTTCACTTGAGTGAACTGGAATTCATTCCGCAAACATGCCCATGAGAACCAATATACTCTCCTTAATGAAAAACATGAAAAGTGGAAAAAAATGTGCTTGAGATTATTCTGATCAGCAATAGCTTATAAAGTACAAAACTGAATGGTTTTACTGCATTTACTGCTCAAGCATGTCATAAAACATTGGGTTGAACTGTAACAAAAGCTTTAGCACACACAGGATGAATCTTTTGATCAAGGTAGTGGCTGTTGATAAGAGACAGTGAAATACAGTAATGATCTATTAAAGTAACCAATCCTTTGTTTTGTTTTTTTCCTCCACAACTTTTCATCTTTTCACAATCTTTTAAAAATACAGATCATCTAGATTGCTATTTCATTATTATGTATGTGTTTAAAAAGACACTATAAAAGCTTTTAATTTTAGTTCTTTAAAAAAAAAAGCCACAGGCCACAGTCACATACAAGCACATGATGGCTTGTTTCATATCCTCCTGAGAACCAGAAATTAAAAAGCTTTGTGAATTTAGTATTTTTTCATGTCATTACATTGTTTAAAGCATAAGAAAAAAATGGTAAAATAACATTTTTGAAAAATTATATTTTATTTATATGTTATGCTATGTCCTCTGTAGAGGACACCAGGACACAGTTTTTCTAAAAATAAAATGACAAGAATAGACATGAAAAAGCAAAAACAATGGGAAATTTTTAAAAATCACCAATCAATTTTTAGGTTTCAGGATTTTTTTATACCTAACTTTGTTTAAGGTTGCTTTATGCAATATGTGTGTGAAAATTACATAAACTGGTTTTCCCATTAAGCACAATGTTATCTATACACTGCATCTAATTTGCATATTAAAGTGCTGTTGGGACAGCATGTTGAAAAAAGAAGTGTAATAATGGGAGTAGTAATTGGCCAGATTTTCATAATATCTAATATTTCATAAGAATATTGATATATAATTTGTTTTCCTATTCAATTCTTTTGTCTCCCAAAATGTATAATAAACATGCTTTTAGTCCTGGTGTCCTCTACAGTGGACATGCATGAAATGTTGTCCTGTTTCATAACAGGAAGTCATATTTTGATTTGAAACCCCATAACATTTTCCTGGGATGTTGATTTATGACAAACAATTTGAAATTTAATCAGATTTAAATTGTAATTACAAAATATTATCATATTTCCATAAGGATGTACAATTTTATCACTAAATTAATGTCAGCCATTTTTAAAAACCAAGGAGAGGGAGTGGCCATGGTGAAACATCCAATCATTTGGTATCTCTGGAAAGCCCTGAATGCGCTCTGTACAGGACATCCAGACTTAAACCTGTGACATGTGAGGTCTCAGAGAAATTCACTAAAATATAATGTCCACTACAGAGGCAAAAACTCCATAGCTGGGTCTCAGGAGGATATGAATGTACATGCAAACACAAACAAAGGTTTCATTTCATTTATCTGCTCTATCTTTTGGTTTCCACTATTTTGAATGCAACTGTATTCTGGTGGGGGGATTTTAAGATTTTAGAGGGTTGTATGTACAGTATACACCATAGAGTGCTTGTTTGTCAATGCCATTATGGGAACAAAAAAAAAAAAAGTGATTCTTTTGTGCCTCATGGTAGGTATACTTTCCCTAGTAGCATTCCATTAACATGGTTGTTTTTTGCTGGACCAAAACTGTGCAATAAAGTGCAGATACATCTTCTTTATCTCATGACCGTGGATGTTATGGTTCCTATCAGCAGCAATCTCATCACATTGAACAATGTACTTCCCTCTTTAGTCCTCAATTAACATTTTTCTGAACATTTATGTGATTGTTGTCAACACTTTTCTTAATGCTTCATTTTAGTTCAGAAAATAAATACTCTAAAAAACACTTCTGACAAAGACATGTTGTTGTTTTTCGTTGTGGCTCTCTCCCACCAAGTCATGCTCACTTTCCCGCTCAGCCTACCGAGAGAACAATGTGTGTTTTCCCCATGTGACAGGACAGTATGTTGGCCCCCTCTGCCTCACAGTGAGGAGAATTTCAAACAGGCAGCAGGGTCATGGGGGATTACCAATAATTCTCTCTACTGGGAAACTGTCTTCATCAAGCCATGCTTTAAGGCATCCTGCATGTTCTATCTAACCAGTTAAAACAGTTATTACTCCAGTCTTCAGTGTCACAAGATCATTCAGAAATCATTTTAGTAGTCGAAAATACAGTTTTTTTTTTATTTTATTTTTAATATTTTGAATATTCAATATTTTAAGGAAACCATGATTATTTTTTCAGGATACTTTGATGCATAGAACGTTTAAAAGAACAGCATTTATTTGATATAGAAATCTTTTTTTAACATTATAAAGGTCTTTGTCACTTTTGATCAATGTGTTCTTGCTAAATAAATATTAAGTGTTATTTTCTTAAAAAAAATAAATAAAAAAAAACACTTACTGACCCCAAACTTTTGAACGTACATTTGAATTAGGTCAACCAACAGACATCTGCCTAAATTGACCAGAGTAATTCACACAGCCTCAATAGGTCCTTATGACAGCATAATTTTATACTTTTGTGTAAAAAAAAAAAAAAAAAAAAAATAAAAACATTTTTTCACTTGATAATTACAGACAGGTGTGTTTGATCAGGGTTGGAACTGAACTCTGCAGGAAGGTAGATCTCCAGGACCAGGGTTGGGCACCCCTGCTCTAAATAAATGAGGGGAAAAGGTTTTAGACAATCTTAAAAAAAAATCCCTCTAACTTTTTTTTTTTTTTTTACACATTTTAAAGAAAAGCCAAACAATTTGTTTATTTTCTATGCATTAAAAAAAGCTGGTATTCAATGAAACCGGTTTAAACATTTCTGACCATTCTTATGTCTTTTGTAGACTGCAGGGTGTATAGTGCTCTCTAGTGGGGACTGAGATGTTGTGACTGAAATGGCCTTCAGAAGCAGCTAACTCCTCATGTACAGCGCAGTTCACACGACAGTTCACGTTTTAATTCTTAGTGAATAGGCTTAGTGAGGTAAACGTCCCACTATGTGCCAAACTAACACAACACAGAGTTGGAGAAAAAAAAAGAGCAAGTGAGAGAAAGGGATTTAAAAAAAAAACTGAGATAAATGAAAAAAAAAATGTTCAAAAGTAATTACTGTCATTATATGTGATAAAATATGTAGCCATACCTCCATTAATACCTGTCGACAAGCACCGCAGGGTCCCACAAAACTATCTTTGATATCACCGTTGGTGAGATGAAAGGATTCTTTAACATACTGAATATATCTTCTGTTCAGTAAGTCAGACTGTATTCGGAATATATGATATACCATGTGACAGCTATGGCTGTAAATCTTCGGTAGCCTTCTGCGACCGCTCTCTGTATCGCAGTTCTCTCCGCACATACAGTAAGGCCAGGAGGTTCCAAAACTTATAATGGAAGTCATGAACACTCTGACAGCACAAGATGATAAAGTGCTGACTATGGCAGATAAAATGCTGTGGAATCATGTTGCTTCAGTCAAACAAAATGAAATAATCAGGTGCATCCGCCTACCGGTGATAATGGCGCCCCCTGTCGTCAAAACGGCAGCGTTTCCCGTGCCTGCAAACATTTTGCCACTAGTTCGAGAAGGGTCTGGCTGCAGCTGGCGCTTGCACTCTCAGACGTGCATTCTCAGGCTTGCACTCTCAGGCTTGCACAATCGCTCAAATTGCCCATCTTAACGATGTTTAACAGGTGGAGAAACAAATTTGTGTCAAATCTCAAACGTTACATTACAATCTGCAGTGCTAATGCAGCACAGCACAGCGGCCACCGTATCAGGAATACAGAACTTGAAAGGTAAACAGTTCGAAAAACAATGACAGAACATAACTAATTCTGCGCTATTCTGCTAAAATGAACAATAATCTCCCAAAAATGATGTTACACAAGCATTCATTCGCCTCATCCACGCTGAATATGCTTCTTCGCGCGCAGTCCAACCGACAGCTTCCTCAAGTTCATGAGTTGTTCGTCTGAAATTCCTCCGCGGTTTAGTTAGTTCGCTGTATAGTCTGCCCGTGTCTCCTTGTTTGATGTTGCACTGCGATGTCTTTATGTATTAAACATGAGTCTAATGTCTAGATTTGCTGATTTTTTTTTTATTGGAAAGGACTCTGATATTAA